CATTATAAATAGCTTTGAATCAAGGATAATAAACATGAGTGAATGGGAAATTTTTGGAAGAGACCTGACAGACTGGATCATTTAATCTCTCACCTACTTTTTGTACTACGATGAGGTTTGGGTTTCTTTAGGTCGTCATCCTACTTGAGAACGAAAATCAGTAGGTTGTTGAAATACATCGAAAAATGTTACCTGAATTGAGAATAAAGGAGACATTAAACCATGCAGAATCACTGATGCCATGCCAGGAAATAAGGCATAAAGTACCAGAGATTAAAGCATTATCTTACTTCATTGGTGTAAATCTGAGCAATTAGTTTTGACTGTTAGTCATAACTTTTCACGTTGCTAATGTTGGCTTGATCTCATTTTCTCAACTTAGTCAGGAGAAAAGGTTGACCATATGAAACGTGCCCAGTCCTGTGTCCCCTGTCATAGTATTTATAATTTTCAGCATTGCAATTTTCACCTGATACATCTCAAGACGTTTCACCGGTATCGAAGTCTGCATTTTCAGTGAGAAGATCCATCCTCAGCACCGAGTTACAACTCGTCAAAGTGACAATTGAAGGCAATCCCTTTGACCAGCTTTATGTTTAACCGTGGTGGCTTCTCTCTTCCTTCTAGGAATCTATACAGTATAAACCTAAATTTTTTAATTTTATGAGGCAATATCATTTAGATGAGGTTAGTGAAACATTATTTCTAACCTCTACAAAGACTGGCAGAGGCGCATGTTAATTTAGCTTCTAAATATAGAGTCTAATCACAGGCGGGATCTGAGCAGGATTTTCATTCCTGAAATTTTTGATAAACTATAGATTATAAAGGACTAAAAGTCAAAAAATATTTTGATTAGATGTGTGAAAAGCACCATACAAAGCAATACAAAGGTATGGGATTAATAGACAGCCGAAGGCCTAACCATCCCACACGAACGAAGAGGATCCTAGATTGACAAATCCCACGGATCAATTAGAGGAAGAGATTAAAGTAGTGAATTTATCTTCGATTCCTCTCGATTATGAAACACCAGTGATTCTCAATAAAGAATTTAGTCTTGCCATTTCAAATGAAAGGAATGTTATTGGAAAATTCTCCGAGATGATGCCGAAAGAGACAAAACGGGAAACAGAAATGGTAATAATGTCAAATGAGAATAGTCACAGATAGGCAGAAGATTATAATTGAATGAATAAATAGTTCCATAAACGGACAAAGGGTGGATAACGTACTTATGAATAAAGCTTGGAGCAACTCAACGAAAACGGCAAAATCGAGACGCATGGATCAAGGAAATTATTGTGACCTGACTCAGCTTCAAAGGAAAAGTTGGTTGGAAGAAATTCGTTAATTAATCTCACCTAAAACCGAAGGGTTATTGTGTTGTAAGAGTTAAGACTGTTACATTCAGCCAAGAAGTCCTCGGCTCACCGTCCTGCGGCCCTTATAAACCTATACCAATCTTTTGTCTATCATGTGATAGATATCGTCAGAGAGAGGGATCATACTTTACGAAAAAAACGCACCAAATACTTTAATCCAAGAAAATAAGGGTGGCCCAATGCAATTCACATTTTTCTTATACTTCCTAATGAGTTATCCCCTGATTTGGTTGGTTATTTCTTGCCTAGCTCTTTTGTAGGTTAGATAGATTGATGCACGAGAAGGAGTTGGATGTAGAGGCAGTTGTTTCCTTGCCTAAATAATCAAACGCATGCTCCTGCAATTTTTTACTTATGTGGTGTTTTGAGACTGATTCACGAATTCATTCCAACCAACTTTTTATTCTAAATGTATAGTTATGTCACGGTAACTCACTAAGGCATTCTTCGAAACCCATTTTTTCTTCATATATTTAACGAATTTACTAGATTAATAGGAAGAGACATAGTCAAGAGGATGATCTTGAATGATAAACGGAATTCAGGAGAAGGCGTTTGCATTGGGAGGAGTCAAAAATGCGGATCGGCTCAAAATATTACTAGAGTGGGTCCACTTGGGGATATGGAAATTAAGGAGTATAAACGTCTTAATAGTATACTATTAGGGATACTAAGTTAAGAATGTGGAACTATTTTAAATCCACCTAGGTGTTGCAGTGGAGGTTTGGGACTGAAGGGGACTGCAACCAAACATCCAAGAGTGATATTTAGCATATATTCCACGAGTTAAATCACCTTAGAGATCTAGTTTATTTACTGCTTTAATCGACTTCTTTGAACATCGCACTATTCAAACCAATTAATAGAAGGTTTATGATCACTGCGATACTTGGCGGATCTCTTCATGTAAAAATTGTGCTTGATATTCACTGAAGTAATTCGTTGATCGATCTCATTATAAATTTGATGGTGATCTATATTGCTCTTCTGGGTATGGGCTTCCACTTCCACATTACTCGGAACTTTAAATTCACCATCATTACTAGAAGACGACAGATGATTCCCGCTCTGCAGTCGTATTATAATTTGATGTTCATGTTAATGTAGTCCACAAACATCTTCCCCCGTTTTGGCTGAAAACGCGTTGGGCTTACATCTATCAGATAAAAGCCATCGTCAGGGCTTGAGCTCATTCTTGCAGAAGCCTTAGGTTAACACTAAGTCAAGAAGACTGGCCAGTTCTATCATATTTATTATATATGCTCACAATAACAAACGAAAATATAGACAGAGTGGCCATCAATCAGGACACTTATACCGGTGTGTGCATGTGTATGCTAAATGTTAGCTAATTTAAATGACTTTAAGAAAAGGTTCAATGGAGGGACTTAAAACTAGGCTGAAGAATATTTTTAAGGCGTTTGTAAATGATGAGTAAATTGAGAATAAAAAGATGAATTTACTGTTTGAGAGATGTTCTAGGGCTCCCATTTTTCACGGACTTTCAAAGGTGCATAAAGAGGGGATTCCTTTATTTAATTTAAATAATAGGGAAAGTGCGGCACAATCTCACGCATATTATGACTACGATTAAGAAAAGTTGCTTAATTTTGTCTATTCAGCCAAAAGCTCTTATGAATTTTCAAAATTAGTATATTAGCAAGTTATAAAGGTAAGTATTGATGTCATATCTATATAGATCAACGTTCCGGTTCTGTGAACTAATCATATATATATATATATATATATGAAGTGCACTGATAGTCTCGAAACCTACTTATAAGCGACTCAATATTAAGTACATCGAAGATATGAAGTCCAAGATGGTATGGTTGCAGTTTCTTTTGTATGTATAGATGTGGGCTGACCTCGGTTTCGCAATTTGGTTGTGTTGTCAGGGCGACTTATTTGAATGCACCTTGTCCGAACTCCCAGACATTTCGCCGGCATCGTTATCGACATTGTCAGTGATTCTTGTCATTCTCAGCACCAAGCCACAATTCGTCAGAGGCAAGTCATCTTAAAAGAAATAGGCTGAATAAATCTCAAATTATTATTTCTGTAAAGCTATGCTCAAAATGTTTTGCTGCCTGATAGATGCTGTAAATGACAAATTAAAATTTTTTATGTATTCTGAAGGTAAACGATTTGGGCTTTCTCGATAAAGAACTTCTTATTCACTTTAACTTTATTCACTTTAAAATACGGGGTATGCATATATATATATATATATATATAATTATGTATATAAATGCTTCAATTAGGTTCTTATATTGAGTGCATATTTGCTCTGATACTTTTATCGAAAGTCAATTTATTTGCTGATGCGACCCTATCCTTAATACTGATTCTAATTTTAATTTTTTGTACGGTTCTTTTGAGTTTTCCGTTAAATCTATTAATTCTGTCGTTAGCCTCTTTTTCCCCGTTCACCTACTAGCTAGCACCATAGAGATGCTTTCCTTACATTCTCAAATGGACAGGCATAAAGATATATGAGAGTTGTTGTCACCACAGGTCGCATAACTCGAATTTTCCCACACCATGCCATTGAATTTCACTTATTCTTGCTTCCAAAGAAGTAATCTTTTTTGGGGTGGACTAGTTCTGGACCTCATTATTATTCATATTTAAACCGAATCCAGTTAGTTCTACGCATAATTTCGGTAAGTGATGACTTTGCTACACTGCTACGGCTAGCAACTAGTCGTATGGCAGGCGCTGCCTTCAAAGCAAGCCAGACCTCTCCCACATCACATTCTATATTGGGATTTTCGATCAAGCAAACTTCTATTTCATAGAGCTATTCTTCATGATAATCTCAGAACCCAGTTATTATGACGAAAGTTAGATATTTGCGAGGTAGATATGGCGTTCCGGATAATTAAAAACGTGGACTAAGAGAATTTCTCTCTTTGTTGTCCATTTTTATCTGGAGAGAAGTCTTTTTAACTGGTATGTTTACGACTCTGAGATAGGCCGAATCAATTATTGCTCTCACCATCTGCCACTTGCGGCATAGCATCACTAGGGCTAATGGCATCGAGAGTAAAGTCTCGAAATGTATGGTATGGGCCAAGCTGCGTCCGACTTTTTGCACCACCGTTATCTCTGTAAATTCGTCCAGAGTAGAGCGTTCAGTTGGCCATAGTCTGATATATGGAGCCAGCAACTAGAATGCATTAGTATTGAGTCTCGATTAGAAGATAAGTTATCTAAAGTGGTCGGAGCAATCTAACTAAATGGAGCCAAATATAGTTGGCTCATTTGAGATTTTTCTTAATAGGTTCAAACTTACTAGTACAGTTCTTATGCTCTATGTTCTGCCAATGCTTTAGCTGCTAGCTTTAATTTCGCATCTAATATCCTTCATTTAAGGACATTTTCCGAATTATACTATTTCGATTAGTCCATTTGATTGTTTGAAAGCTTGTAGGCCTATACAATTTACTATTCACGACCATGACTATTGCCACACAAAATGGCAAGTTTTATTCAATCTTGGGAGCCTGCAACAGTCATTAGGCGCTGAGCTATCTCCGAACCTAGGCTACAGACTTGAGATACAGCTTTAACTATCTGCTTCTTAATGTGCCGCTGCTGCATCTATTGCATATGCAATATCTTGGTCATTTGCACATCGTTCTTTCACTTTATACAGCTAAAACAACCCTATGAGGATCCATCCTTAACATCCTCATATACTTCATTGTATGCTCTTGAAAATCGTAATTCAAATTCACAAAGCTCATAAAATGGATTAAGAAATCCCATCTCAATTTTGGTATTCTAACCTTTCATCTTTACAGAGTCTCATTAAACTTGCATATTTATTTAACATTTTGAATAGCTTATCCTAGCCTCTTGTCCCACAATTCATTTTCTCATACTCCTACTTCGACCTCAATTTTTTCGTTTCGAATTCACCCATTGGTTCCTAAACCCCATCCTCAACCTTTACAGACACCTCTGGACCCTTGAATTCGAATGACGAGGACAATCTTAAGTCTTCAGGAGACTTTGATATTGGAGCATTGGATTTTTTGGAAAGGCCTAACTCCGAGCCTTTACCGTCACCATGCCCTCTTCTCGGCTTTCAAACTCCTATATCTGAGTCGGTATTTGCACCGTCATCGACGCCTCCGCCTCCTTTGCCGGCTTCCTCGCCTCCTCCTCTTCTTATTTGCACTCTGCCCAAGTTAACACGGACACTCATTAAACACGTGGAAGCTGCTACGCGATCCACGCTCCTTGAACCCTCTGATAACTCAGAATTGGACAGCTCAACCATAACTAGTGCCAATTTATCCGAGTCGACGATATCACCAACACCTAGTTATGTCGACTCTATTGCCTCGGATGCTTCCAATATTAATCCTAACACTACTCCTATTGGGGCTATAGCTACAACCAATACTGAGTCGCTGCAAAACACATCTTCAGAAAGGTTATCACGCTCAAGTGCTCCCAGCCGGCAGACCCCTGTCGGATTAGAACGCCTCATCTCAAGTGGTGAATCGCTCTCTGCTGAAGGCTTTTTTGTACTAGCAGATCTAGGCCGTGGAAACGGAGGCCTAGTGACGAGAAGCCGACACATAGCCAGTGGATTCGCAGTGGCCAGAAAGACTTTTAGAGGTATCGACGCATCTCGGGGCCAAATCATAAGGGAGTTGAATGTAGGTCTTTTGTAAGCTATTGTGTTTCTATAAGTAATAAGTTCATTTTTCCCTTAATTCTGCATCTTCGTTTTGATCACCGAATAGTGGAAGGTTTCAGTACTTGAGGGGAAGCCATGCAGGATTTTTGATAAATTTGAAGCGGTCTCACCTGAAAAAACTTTTATTTACCATGCCTTAAGGGTGGAGATTAACATGTATAAAGAGTCCTTGTATATATTTGGCCTCAATACTTGTCTTGATAAGTTTGAGGTGTTCTGAAATTATATCTAAGCCACTATCACCGGCATCCTTGTAGTTATTCTGAATGGTTTAGCAACTCTAATAGATTTTTTCTGCACCTTTGAAGCTATGCTTGAGTTTACGTTTTGCTTATCACTTAACAGTCAGCTTTTTAGAAATCTACTCTCATGTTGGCACCTAAACATCAAAGGGAGCAATTATCTATACGATTACATGATGGCGAGAAGAGTCTTCGCAACTTTGTGAATACTTTTGGCATAGCAATGATTGTTTAATATGCAAGTAACCACTACATAGTTAGGATAACCAGGAAAGCGTTGCTAAGTTATAGTCACAATTTTACTTGTAAACTTTTCCTAAAATCTAAGGTATGAAAACCAAGATGGTGTGGCCTTTTGTGTGGTCGCAGTCTCATTTCGTTGTATAGAGGTTGTTTAACCTTGCATTCGCAACTTGGTCATATTGTTAGGAAGACTTAGAGGAACGCACCTTGTCCGGAGTCCATTGCATGCATGATCATTTGCAAAGTCTGACCGTGGACGTGGTACATTTCCAGACGTTTTACCGGCATCGTAAGTGAGCTTTACCATTCGTAGCACCATATTACAACTCGTCAAAGAGACAAGTGAAACCGATCCTTTGACCAAACGTGTGCT